ATTTGCTCGGTCGTGTCCGACTTTTAGCGACCCCATGGACTGCAGCCTACCAGGCTCCTCTGTCCATGGGATTTTCCAGGAAAGAGTACTGGAGTGGGGTGCCATTGCCTTCTCCGCTAGAGTGTGCATAAGAAGGAAAAAAAAAACCCTCAAATTTTAAAACCTTACTATTACTGGAGGTATAATAAGCCGATGGAGGCTTAAGCATACTTTAGAAACCTGGCATTTCTACCTCAGGGTTATGGTTTTTTATTCAAAGTAATTTGAAAGGCTTTAGAAATACTTGAAACATCTGCAAATACAAGAAGGAATCAAATGTTATTGTGTTCTTTTATTGACTAGAAACTTAGACTGTGGACATAATTTTTGGGGGGGGAGGAATAGATGAGGATTACTGCTCACCCTCAGGACAGATTTTCACAATATCTCTTCAAGAAAGCAGAAATGTTTGGCTGCATATCACAAAGCTCCAACAGTCCCTTGATTAAAGCTTTCAGCTGGACTGGGGTTAATCATTATAAGATTTAGTGATTAACTGGCTGTTTTCAGAGAAAGCACCAAGTATCTTGTTTCCATCTGCTTCAATTACATGAGGTTCCAGATTCTAGAAGGGTTGGATTTGCAGTCATGAAACAGCCTAAGTGTGGGCAGGTAGTCATGACCTGATATAGTGGTGACACAGCCTGCTTTGGGTACCACCCCCCAAGACAAACTCCACTACTTCCCTCTTTTCTTGTCTCTACCTCTATCTGGCATTGGAAACACTACAGACCTGTGTCTCGTGCAGCTTAAAAACTAAAGAAATGATACGCTGCATTTTAAAGTAAATCGCCTTTCCAAATAGAGCAAACTTTAATATGTTAGTGTCTCACACTTTAAAATCTGAAAGAGATTTTAAGAACCAAATGTTTTATTCTTTTTACACAATGGGGTTCCCTGCAGGATGCAGATGAGGATTTCAGATTCTTTGTGACCCCATGCACAGTAGCCCACCAGGCTCCTATGTGAATGGGATTCTTCAGGCAAGAATACTGGAATGGGTTGCCATTTCCTCCTCCAGGAGATCTTCCCAACCCAGGGATCAAACCCACATCTCTTATGTCTCCTGCATTGGTAAGCGGATTCTTTCTCACCAGCACCACCTGTGAAGCCCCAGATGTGGGTTTAGTACCAGCAACAGAGAAGAAGAGGAAGGGGACAGCTTCAGATGTTCATATGTTTCAGCCAAAAGTGAGGGAAAATACTACTCCATGTGATTTATTCTTCGTATTAAATTATCTTATTTCAAAACTTTGCAAGCAAAATGCTCTGAATGATTCACTATGCCTGAAAACACCATAAATAAATGGTCTGTTACCAACTGGTAACATCATTGCCTTTTCTGATTTAAGTAGCCACTTTGAGAACTATTTTATCATTAGGAGTTTAAGCCTCAGAAACCTTAGCATGTTTTTAAAGAAGGAGCACATGGGAATCTTTATGAAGATAGAGAGCACAGGAAACCTTGAGACTACACAGTTCATATAAAAACTGTTCTTAGGATATACAGGCACACACATACTAGAGTGAAGGACAAGGTGTTGAAGGTGGTTTTCCTGTCTTGGGTTGCTGGATGGGAGAAGTTGTTCTCTTCTTTCCTCATCTCATAGGTTAAAGGTGATTCAGAATAGGATTCCAGAAAAGAAGAGGAAGAAGGAAGCTTCACAGATTCACCCTATAATGGACTATTCTGGGCTCAGGAGAAGAACAAGTATTTATTAAGTGCGATATGACTTCCCTGGTGGCTCAGAGGGTAAAGAATCGGCCTGCAATGCAGGAGACCAAGGTTCAATCCCTGGGTTGGAAAAATCCCTTGGGGAAGGAAATGACAACCCCCTTCAGTATTCTTGCTTGAAAAGTTCCATGGACAGAGGAGCTGGGTGGGCTCCTCTGACTGAGAAACTAACACATATGCTAAGTGGTGGAAATGGCAACCCACTCCAGTATTTTTGCCTGGAGAATCCCATGGACAGAGGAGCCTGGTGGGTTACAGTCCATGGGGTCGCGAAGAGTTGGACATGACTGAGCGAACACTCACTTACTCACTCACATGGATTATCTTACCAAATACAATAAGTATTTATTGTATTTGGTGAGGATAGGATGTTATTGCTTTATTCCCACTATTATATTGTCACCCTTCTTATTTAACTTCTATGCAGAGTACATCATGAGAAACGCTAGGCTGGAGGAAGCACAAGCTGGAATCAAGATTGCTGGGAGAAATATCAATAACCTCAGATATGCAGATGACACCACCCNCAAGGAGATCCAGCCAATCCATCCTTAAGGAGATCAGTCCTGGGTGTTCATTGGAAGGACTGAAGCTGAAGCTGAAACTTCAGTACTTTGGCCACTTGATGTGAAGAACTGACTCATTGGAAAAGACCCTGATGCTGGGAGGGATTGGGGCAGGAGGAGAAGGGGACAACAGAGGATGAGATGGTTGGATGGCATCACTGACTCAATCGACTTGAGTTTGAGTAAACTCCGGGAGTTGGTGATGGACAGGGAGGCCTGGCGTGCTTCAGTACATGGGGTCATAAAGAGTCAGACACAATTGAGCGACTGAACTGAACTGATTATTTCCATTTCACAGGTGAGGAAATTGAGGCTTACAGAAGGTTAAGGCTCTTATCTTGGGTCACACGGCTGGCAGGCAGCAGCTTTGGTACAGGAATCCTCTAGTTAACCACCATCCTATCTTGCCTTCTATGGGTAATGTCCTTGTCCTTCTTCCCTCTGAAGTAAGACTGGATTTTTTTTTTTTTTTTGGTACAAAGTCAATTTGATCATGCTGCTTTCCTACGTAAAACCCTTCAACAGTTTCCCATTCTTCCTGGAATGAAGCCAAACTTCTTAACATTATTCTAAAGGCTCTTCATAATTTCACCCCTGCCTACCTCTCCAGCCTCATTTTCCATTCTCCTTCTTGCTCCAATTGCTCAGAATGTTCTCCCCTCAAAAATGTCAAAATCTTTTGTTTTACAGGTTTTGCTGCATCTATTCCTTCTTCTTATAACATGTACTCCTCTCCCTTTTCCTGACTTCCTCATCCTTCAAGTCCCAGCAAAATGTACCAGGCCCTCCATCATCTGCTGCTAGAGGTATGATGTCCAATAAGGTAGCCACTAGCCAGATGTGATCATGGAACACTTGAAATGTGGCTAATCTGAGATGAGATGTAGGAAATACATATTGGAGTTTGAAAACGACGTACAAGAACAAAAAGTAAACTGTATTAGTAATGGTTTCCCTGGTAGCTCATTGATAAAGAATCTGCCTGCCAATGCAGGAGATGCAGTTTCAATCCCTGGGTTGGAACAATTCCCTAGAGAAGGAAATGGCAACCCGCTCCAATATTCTTTCCTGGAGAATTCCATGGATAGAGGAGACTGGCAGGCTACAGTCCATGGGGTCACAAGAGTCGGACATGACTTAGTGACTAAACAACAATGACAAATAATGGTGAAATGTTGAGATGAGAATAGTTTACATATACTGGGCTATATAAAATACATTATTAAAAATAATCTTACTTTTTCCTTTTTAAAATGCAGAGAATTTGAGGACTACATACGTGACTCATATGTCTATGGGACAGTGCTGCTTTAGGGCATCCAGCACTTTCTTTAGTAACAACACGTGGCACAGTTGTAATTATTTGTTTACTATTTGACATTTTTACCAGACCATGAGGTCTAAGAGGGTGGGCTGTGTCTGTTTTATTCCCCCTGGTGCTCCAGTGCTGACCACAGCAGCTGGCATAGTGTACTTAAATTGAACTGTTGAAATAGCAAAGACTGAAAAAAGGAAACGGCCACCCACACCAGTATTCTTGCCTGGGAAATCCCGTGGATAGAAAAGCCTGAAGGGCTAGAGTCCATGGGGTTGCAAAAGAGTCAGAAACAATTTAGCAAGTAAACAATAACAACAAAACTATGATTTAGGAGGTTAGGGATTCCAGGATGGAATGCAGACCTTGACAAAAGAATCTGACTTTATTACAAAAGTATAAAATAAAGGGAGTAGAGTGAGGGAGGTAGGGAGGGTGCTACTTAGACAATTTAAGAAATGAATAGAGTTTGTAAGACTAAAGCAAAAACACTATACATAAGCACTCTATTCCAGTTGATAAAGTTTGCTTCTCACATGGGTACAGGTAATCAAAACCACTACACATGTATGCTGGAATTAGAAAATTAAATAGATGGCAAATGGTACAGGACTTTCCTGACAGCTCAGTTAGTAAAGAATCCGCCTGCATCGCAGGAGACACTGGTTCGATTACTGGGTCAGGCAGACCCACTGGAAAAGGGATAGGCTACCCACTCCAGTATTCTTGGGCTTCCCTTGTGGCTCAGCTGGTAAAGAATCTGCCTGCAACATGGGAAACTTGGGTTCAATCCCTGGGTTGGGAAGATCCCCTGGAGAAGGGAATTTCTACCCACTCCAGTATTATGGCCTGGACAATTCCATGGACTACAGTCCATGGGGTCACAAATAGTTGGACATAACTGAGTGACTTTCACTTTCAGATGGTACAAGTCAAATTGATCACTATTAGAGTGGGATCTTTCAGACAAGCAAGGAGAAAAGGCTAGAATGATCCATTTAGTAATGGATTAACAATTAGATAAATCAGTATAAACTCATACTTAGCTAAGTATATACAGATAGGTGTGTGTGTGTGTGTGTGTGTGTGTGTGTGTGTGTGTGTGTATATTTATAGACATGGATTATGCATGGGCTGGTACACTCGCATATATTTCCTTGCTCTTTCAGCTGAAAAGGCTTAGAAGCAATGTGTGTGTGCTCAGGAGCTCAGCTGTGTCCAACACTTTGTGACCTCATGGACTGTAGCCTGCCAGGTTCCTCTGTCCATGGAATCTTCCAGGCAAGAATACTGGAGTGGGTTGCCATTTCCTCCTCCAAGGGATCTTCCTGATCCAAGGATCAAACCTCAGTCTCTTGAGTCTCATGCACCGGTAGGTGGATTCTTTACCACTGTGTCACTTGGGAAGCCCGCCTTAGAAGCAGTAACATCCCAATAATCCCAGTAGTAACAAGGACATCTACCACCCAAATCTTGGTTTCTAATACTAGTCTTCAATAAAAGGAACCAAGGATCCTTGGCAAAACAGCTCTGGCTAAGATGGAGACAGGGAATATAAAAGCATCTAGTTGTGTCAGAAAGTGTCCAAAAACATAAAACAAAATACAATGATGGAATATGTCAAAGAAACACAGGAGCAATCTGAAAGAGCTATTAGTGGTCAATGCTGGAACAATTTGACCAATAAAATAAATATAGTGATACTGGGTTATAACCCAAAATATAAATACCCATGAGTTCATGCTGATATGAAAAATAATTGAATAAATAAATACATGTGGTAGAAGAGACAATACTTCACATGGAAGAATTCCAAATGATGTATGTTGATACCTGCTATCATGGAGGTAGAGCTAAGTCCCTTCTCAAGTGTGGTCTGTGCATAGTGACTTTCTCCCAAAGAGTTCAGTATGGAAAAGGGATGACTTTATAGTGGAGAAATGTGGAAAATACTACCTTAACCAGATAATCAAAGTTAACATTAACAATGATAAATTGCCTTAATAGTGTGTATTCTTGATATGGTGTGATAAAAATGATCTATCTCTGGTCTTTTCCCTGAAAACCTATGATCTGAGCTTGATTTTGAAAAAAATAATCAGACAAATCACAACTGAGGAATATCCTTCTAAATAATTGACCTATATGCTTTAAACCTGCCAGGACTTCAACGACTCTTCTGAGAAACTGGAACAGCCAAGGAGCTTAAAGAAGCAGGACCACTAAAGATGAAGTGATATCCTAGAAGCGATGGATATAGAAACAGAAAAGGGTACTACGTAAAAACAAAGGGAGTTTGAATAAACAATGGACTTTCATTAATGATAATGAATCAATATTGGTTCATAAAAAATGCTAAAAGATAGAAGCTGTCAAGTCATAATTCTCTATCGTTTAAAATATCCTTTAGGAATGAAGGTAATGGAAAGACATTCTCAAAGGAAGAAAAATGTTAGCAAATTTGTAGCCAGCAGACCTGTTTTATAAGAATTTCTAGAGGAAGTTCTTCAGTCAGAAAGGAAATGATACCAGTCAGAAACTTAGAACATCAGAAATGAAGAACAGCTATGTAACCAAAAATAATTCCAAAAAATGGGAATGACGTGAATACTAACTTTTACAAGATATAGATAGCTGTTTAAAAAAACAATATTGCAGAGGAAATTCATTCTCTAATATTGTTGAGACAATCCTTTAAAAAACTTCACTGAAAAAAGACATGAAATTATATATACTGTGTAAACAAAATTTTGTTACTATGTATTAAATATAGAAACACTCAGAGCTCTGGGTGGTGGCATTTATAGGGGATTTTAAAAAACAGTTTTATGTTTCCAAATATTCAAAATAAGCACTATTACATTCATGATCAGGAAAGATAACCATGATTTTAAAAATTCACTGTCTTGCTAGACTTCATCTTAGACTCTTGGCATAAACATTTCCTTTTAGGCACACAATATAAGCTTCAATGACTCATCTGAATGTAAATTTGGCTCACAGACTCTAAAGACTTAGAATGAAATAGATAAAAAAGAATAATTCCTGTAATATCCTAGGACAAATAGGATTGCCGCTATCATCTACTGGCTCAGAACCCACACCCAAGTATCTCAAAAGACTTAACAAGATCAAATCCTGTTAATTTCCACATCATACATGTTAAGAAGACAGTGAAAAAGAAATTACGATTCTGACTGAATGGAATGCATGGAATTTCTAAAGCACAATGCTTCTTGCAATCAAAGCTATTGCAAAATGTAATGTCAACATTATTCTCATAACTGCTTCTGTCCTATTTCTTCATAAACAAGGGATGAAGACTAACCCTCAAATGAGATATTGATTGCATTATGATGTTATCTGAGTGCACCAAAGGAAGGGGGCTGATTTTTTTCTAGCAGTCAGCTGAATGTGCTCACTTGGGCGGAATAGTGAACAGCTACTATTTCCTGTCCCCCGTTCTTCCAGGCACAGACATCCCCATGGTCAGAGCTGAGTACACAGGGGTACCTCACCCATGCTGACTCAATATTGGGGTAGAGGGATCACATGGCCCACACTTGATCAGTCCGTGGCCTTCCCCAAGGTTTTCTAACAGTAACTGCTGGGGAAAACCCAGGAATTGTTGGTGGCCATGTTTCCAGGCTCAAGGAGAAGTGGAGGCAGGCTCTGGCGTCTGTTATCCTGAGATCAGAGCCACACCTGCTTTTCCTGTGGATTTTACTTTAAAGTGGCTTAAAATGGGTTTCTATCACCTGTATCCTCCATAGTCTCAAGTTAAACAGTAACTTAGTAACTATATTCTATTAGGAAGGAAAACATTCACAGTGGTAAATAATGAAACTTTCTCAGAAATCCTTTGGGTTCAACTGACACGGCTCTTACAACCTGTGCATTATTTTGGCACTTAACTCCAATCTCTCTCAGTACTACATTTTGATATAATTTATCCTTAAATACTCATCTCTGTCCTAGGCAGTTTAAACTGTTAGGCTGTTTGCTCTTTGAAGTCAAGAATTGGTTTTATTGGATTTTTGTCTCCATAATCAAAGTATGTATCTGCATGGCACATAGTAGGCACTTAATAAGTGTTAGTTGATTTTAAAAGAATTAAATATGATCATTTTGCCTCTATTATAGAATTACTTCACTCCTTCAAACTTAATTGGAAATTTGTGGCTAGCCTGGAAAAATTAATTTAGTTAAGAAAAAGGGGGCTGTTAACCCATTTACTAGTATAAGAAACTATAAAGAGAATGATTAAACTAATTAACAAATTGTTTCAAGCAGGTCACAGCCATTTAAATCATATAGAAATAATTTGTGGGCTAAGTTACAAATAATATCCCTCTACCTATTCATTAAAGTAGGTCCCTGAGGATGTCAATTAAGTCACACTTTGTTAGCTTGATTCATTTACTACTTCTCCTTGAAAATATTCCATAAATCAATTTGTTATTAACCTTCTGTTTGAAAGGTGATACCTGCAGTTATACACAAAATATGTTCACAAACACAAATTCTCTTAAAAATATACAAAATATAACAGGGGTGGGGAGTGCCAAACCTAATACAATTCTTGCTTATTTTTGTCTTATTTTTCGTTCTTCAGATACATTCTAACTTTATTCATGTCCCAGGCATATGCTACTCAGTATAAATACCCCAAATCAAATCTGATTATCACTCTCTAATATTTATCATCATTAACTATTGACTGGATAGGGGTATAGTACAAAAGCCTAATCACACCTCATTCCTGCATACTGTCTAATATAACGACCTTCAAACTAGGTCTCCGAAATTCACTTCATCTTCAGTCTTGCCTTTCTTAGTTGTTTGAGCTGCATCCTTCTGCAAGGTGGGGCCAAGAACCCTGAAGTCATCCCTGACTTCTCCCCTCCTCTCTCACCTCACATTTAACTCAGTAGAAAGTCTGACTTCATTTTCAAAATCTACCCAGAATGCCACACTTGCCACAGCTTCCAGCGTAACCACAATCTCTCTCTTTCTCCATGAGGTACCACACTAGCTGCCGAGGAGTCAAAGAATTTAGTGACATTGCTATTTAAAACTATTTCCATTCCCATCTGCTTATTTATGTGAACAAGCTTTTCCACTGTTTACATATCTAAAAACCAAGAAGTGGAGTAGAATTGATGTTAACCCCTTGCTGCATATAGATAACAAATTCATTTTTAAGAAGTGCCCGTCATTCAATGATGCATTTCCAGTTATAATTTACTTTAATACTTAATAATGATTTCTAAAAATATATAAAATATATATTTTGTTTTAGCAATTATATACTACTATTATTACTAAATTGAAAAGAAAAATTTTAAAGGAGACTTATGGTCATTATAACTTTTAAAACACTAAGATTTAAACTTATTTTTGATACATCAAAGTATAGAGGACGATTAATAGAGACTTTCAACCACAAAAGTACATTACAACATGGACGTGCAACATGAATCCTGGACAGCTCACATTTTGACACTTAACAAGAAGGAAAATTACCTTCTATTTTAGACACTGTTATGTTTGGGTCTTTGTTAGTGTAGCTAAATCTGTTTATTGACTAATATATTGGCATAATTAAAAAGTAAACAGGCCTGGACAAAGATTCATTACAATAGGATAAAATTCTATGGGGTAAATAGAATGGGTATATGATTGAAAGGAGAAAAAGAAATAGTACAACAGTGACAACTGCTAAAGGAGAGTTTATTCATCTATTTTTAAAGTAAGCAGCAAAATCTTTCTCACAATACTCAACTTTGAGTTAAAAGACAGCAATCATTCTATAAAAACATGCTAGTCAATAATAGTCACTTCTTGGGGAACTGTTTGACTTACAGAATTGGAACTCAATATCTTTCTATGGACTCGCAGACCAGATACCCTTTCATTTAGAAAAGTGAAAACTATCAACAACATATTAGACTGGAAGACATGAGTGAATGAATGGATGAATGAATGAGTTGGATATTTTGGCTAATTGGAGGTTCCCAAGTTCCAAGTCATCTTACAAAAGAAAATAACATTTACTATTAATATTTTCACTTTCATCCAAACATTTTGTGCCATGTTAACTAAAACTCCAGCTGTAAAGTTAAACATGTAGAAACATTGGAATGGCCACCAGAGGGAGCCCAAGTGTTTTTCTGAATGTACCAGAAAGCAAAGAGAAAAAGACAGAAAATACACAAAATATAAACCTGGGGGAGCCTGGGACAGGTGCTTATGGGGAAAGGGATCATTACCTGTTTCAGTAAAAAGAATATCTTGTTGAATGACAGTGCCATTTTTGCAATGTTACAAATTCCTTTTCTAGGTGGTTGTACATTGTTATGTTTTGAAAAT